GTTCTTTCCTTTTTCCACTACTTGGCATTGTGAATGTTGTAAACTTCAAAGGTAACAAGAATGTCTGTTAGATAATTATCGTTCAACATTGTTACGTTGTTTTAAAACTTTTTCACATGACAAATGTATTGTATATTATGTATTTAAAGGTCCGAAAAATGATTAAGTAGAAAAAAATCATTATAGTTTTACATACCTAGTTATTTTATTTAAGGTTAGTAAGTGCCTTATCTCGAATAGAATACGGATCTGAGGACTGTGCGAGAAATATAACACGAAACCTCAAATCCCAATATTTTACGTACGAGTTTATATTTTTATTTTATATTCTAAAACTTGCAAAATGCAATTTCTAATGTATTTACTATGAAATGTACATTCCTATATTTAAAATGTTTAATAGTAATAACATTAATTTGTTTTAGTTATAGGTCTCGGTATAGGAATTTAATTGTAAAATAATTTCCCAAATTTTATAGTAAATATTTTAAGTGAAACATTGTTATTTTATTTACCTACTTTGAATAAAATATGTTTTCCGATTGTACTTTCAGTGTTTGATGTTTATAATATAACAATTGTTCGAGTGGGTTTTAAGAGGTTGGGTCTGATGTTAGTACACGTCAAAAAATCAAAGAAGAAATACACATTATAGGCATCGTTGCTTTCTAATTTAAGAACTGATTTAAATGGATGTCTGTGTGTAAGTTCGTACATTAGTTCATTCTCACCAATTTCAACGAAGCTTTAATGTATAATTAAAAATTAAAAATTTTGTACAGCCGACTTCAATATAAGTTATTAAGAATAACTAAAATAACTCAAAAACTATTGGTCTGACCTTGATCAAATTCATATGGGACCACACGAGAAGTATCAGCTTTCATATAAAAAGAAATGAAAAGAATCATCGAAATCGGTCCACCCAGTAAAAAGTTATGAGGTAACACACATAAAAATAAACATACGCGTCGAATTGAGTACCGTCTCCTTTTTGGAAGTCGGCAGAAAATGAACCGCTCGCTAAGAAAGTTTTCATTAAAATCAATTCCGTAGTTTTTTTCAAACAAAGGTATCAAACATTGCGTGTTATTCTAGTAATATAAGTATATTAATCATGTGTAAGAAAGGCAACTTATATCGTCTAAGAGGCGGCAAAGAGAAACAAACCAAGAGTAGGCAGCACGGTCTTCCGGATAACAACTAGAAAATATAAAGACAATCTATGAGGAGGGCTATGTTCAGCAGTGGACTTTAATAAGCAAAAATAATGACCGAATTCAATAGGTTTAATAGGTTTTACATGTGCAGCTACCAGCAATATGGTATAGTTGTAGCACAAATGGGTCGGCTCGACCGGGGGGCCACCACAGAATACCAGCGTTAAAATAGCACCTTAACGCTGCTAATAAAATAAGCTGCTGTGTCTCGTATGGTGCGTGTAGAGAACCGGATATCCTTTTTACTTGAAACGAGGCATTCCATCTTAGGCCTCACGGTTGACAACGCATCTGCATTTTGATTTGTAATCGAGGATAGATGTAGATATACAGCAACCACTTACTATCAGTTGGACTGTGTGCTTGTTTGTCACCCTTATCCTATAAAAAAAGGTGAAAATGATTTGCTTTTCGTTTTCAACTAACATTCGAAACAAGCGAAAGCAAACGATAGGGTCGCCTGAACTTTTGTCTAACCCGCTTTTTGTCATAGTTCGCTTAACAATGCACGACATAACTTTGGATTTTTGCTAACAAATTTACGACCGTTTCCGTGACAGCCGACCGCACGATTTATTCACTCTTAGGACCACTTTAGTGGTGCCATTTTATCGTGCGGTCCGCCTCGTTCTTAGGCAGCAATGCAATGGGTAGACACAAAATGAAATGTATAGAGTTCCCTTTTCATTGCTATTATTGTAAGAACTTAAGTCGTCTATATGTACAAGATTTGTTGTTGCTTAATTTGACTTAAATTAAATGAACTTTGTGTGAACATGCAACCATTTATCTGTAAACGCGAATGAACATTGGAGATTATTTACTTAACCGGTTCAGTGCCAATGGCACGCCTGCCGTGCCATTGATTACTTTTGTGTGTGGCGTATGACACGCGAGTCGTGGTTTTTTAAAAATCACGATAACTCGCTCAAATTGCGTTTTTGGAAGATTTATCCAGAGTAAAATATTCATTATTTTGCAAGTAGTTTATGCCTACAGCTTCGTTTCTGGATATTTTGAAAATTTGAAATTTTTTGTGGGTTTTTTAAATCATGTTGTGGATAAATAGTCTAATAAGTAACAAATAATAGCACTCATTGCGGTCGCTCACAAACTCAAGTTGTAAATAAATTTCTGGAAAACAAGTCTCCTGTTAAAAAAACAATGCGTTTGTCTTATTGTTTAATTTTGCTTAAAATGGTTGAACCATCTTATTACTATCATATGGCAGAATAGACCTACGAAGTACCATGTGCTCTTGTGATATGGTATAAGGTTTATTTTTGCTTGAAACAGTTCGAAACCGTTCATGCATAAAAAAGTTCGCTAATAAAAATAGTCTTGTCAATCCGCCGCATTTTTTTTCTTTTGAAAACACTTGTTTTGCTATTCTTACTAATTAGACGTTTTCAGATCGACTTTACTTTAACATTTGTATAACATTAAATAATATTTAACAATTGTAAATATCAATGAATCATAAACCTTATGTTTTTCCAAAATAAGGTTCTTGATTGTTTGATATTTACAAATTTAATTTAATAAAAACCAAGGTTTTCCAGGGTGATTTAGCTGTACCTACCTATATAAATGATTTTTTATAAAACTAAAAATAGTACAAAAGGTTTGTAATCTCTGCATAAAAAAGTCACTTACTCTCAATTTCAAAGAAAACACGTAGAAAAAAACGTAGCTACCCACTAAAAACATGTATTCTTCCGTTTGTAACTGATGTTTGATGTCAAGTAAACTTAATTAGGTCTAAACAAGTGAAAAAACCATAAAAAAGATATTATTTTTACACATGGCTGATGGCACAATAGGCGCATCATCAACTTCTGTGGCGCCTGACACGCCAGGCGTGTCGCGAAATATTTGTTCGCCGCCACAGCTAAAAGTTGTCGAAAATCGGTGCCGCAACGAATCTGTTAAAATTAGCCTTCTAATATCAATCACTACTCATGAACCGTGTAGTGGCGGTGTAAGAATATCCCCTATCTCATATCATCACCTGGGTGTCGTAAGAGGCGTCAAAAAAATAACCAGGAGATGGGCAGCAGCGTCTTCCTAATAACTAAAAAAAAAAAAACTGCAGTCGCCAATACCGCCTGTGAAGCTGGCAACTGTGGTAAATATCCCCCATTTGAAGCAATCTATGGGAGGCCTATGTTCAGCAGTGGATTTTTCATAGGCTGTAACGGTAATATCAACTATAGCAACATATTTTTAATACTAGCTATTCCCCGCGACTTCGCTCGCGTGTTAGGGTTTTTATTGTTTTTTGCGCGGAACCCTAATTCTTTTTCTAAAATAAAAATAGCCTAAGTTACTCCTTATGACATCAGCTATCTGCCAGCGAAAGTCCCGTCAAAATCGATCCAGCCGTTTCGGAGATTAGCCGGAACAAACAGACAGACAAAAACTTTAAAAATTGTATTTTTGTTATTAGTATCGTATATACTTTCATATGCATTTAGTAAAAAGCTGTTATTTTGACATTACAAACAGACACTTTTATTTATTTGTGTAGATTTAACAAATAAAATGTATGCGAATATGTATGCTAAGATGTAAGTGAACGCGATTATAACATGTTAATGTTTTTTTATAGGATAGGATGACAAACGAGCACATAGTTCACCTAATGGTAAGTGGTTGCTGTGACCCATAGACATCTACATCTATCCTCAATAAAAAGACAAAATGCAGATGCGTAGTCATCCGTGAGAATTAAGATGGAATGCCTCGTTTCCAGTAAAAAGGGTCTCCGGTTCTCTACACTCACCATACGAAACACAGCAGTGTTAAGCTGCTATTTTACGCTGGTATTCTGTGAGAGCGTGGTCCTTTCCCGGTCGAAGCCGACCCATTCGTGCTATAACTATACTTACTAACATAGCTGTAGCATGGCTCTACCGCGTATAATGTAGAGAAACTTACTCCACCTGATGGTAAGTTCCTCTACAACAGACAGAGTAGCTACAGAAGTCCATGGACACCTGCAGCTAACTGCAAACAAAGAAGGTCACTGATGCGTTGTCACCTCTGAGGATTAATAATTATACTGGATTTACATAAGTAAAAGTGCAAGCACTGTATTTGGCGGCAGAAACAGGTAAGAGGTGAGTATCTACCCAGATGGACTGAGAATCCAGAAATAATAGAATAGAGAATCCACTAACCGATCGATGGTGCAATGGATTAGTCGACGATAATTTCTACCACACCGATCGATCGATAGCAACAATCGATGGTAGAATGAATTGGTCGACGTCGATCGAGCTGCTTGATTATTCGAGAAAGCGGAAAAAAATTGGAGCGTAGCCCACCGTCCGCATTTTGAAAGATACTGATGATGAACCCGCAACCACATCGATTGATTGTCGATCGATGATTGAACAACATTTTATCGTCCAGTATCCGTAGATCAGTTAGAGATACCACACCAAACGATCGACATGGATAGACGTCGATCGATAGCATTGATCGACTATCTATCGGTTGGTGTGGTAACAGCCTTATTCCACAGGAAGTATCGTGTGCGTTATGATTTTTAGTAAAGCGTGGATGTAGGTAAACGCTCACAGTCCAAATGTGCATGGATCATGAGGACTTTGTCACTTTCAATTCTATAAAAAAATTACATTTGTATAGGTATTTTTTTTATTTTTCATCCAACAGAACTTCACAACTGCTTTACTTGTCTTCCTAAGATAGGATCAACATTTGTTTGACAAGTCCAAGGTCTTATTTAGATAAAAAAGTTATTTGTTGTGGTATTCAAAGACTATGCTTGCCCACGACCGCCTCAATATCATCGACCTCCTTCACACAGGCCTCCGTGAGGATCACAGGATCTCCATCTGTTATGAGCACGTCGTCCTCTATTCTGATGCCAACTCCTCGGAACTCTTCGGGGACGGATATATCGTTCGGAGATATGTACAATCCTGAAATTATACAAATGATTTACACACTAATAATCGACTTGAAAGATGTAATTTTTAATTAATTTTTACATTTATTTTCTCCACTTCACTTTCTACGCACTTTTCCATAGTAGAGCCACATGTTATACGTGGCAGAAGCTGATGGAATGAAAGTATCTTCCAAGCTTTGAGGATCACACAGGCTTGTCAGGAACAATGTATCAAATGTTTGGCAGTGGTTGGTTCAGATATACAGGAAACAAGAACAATGCATCATATGTTTGGTAGTAGTTGGTTCAGATATACAGGAAACAGAACAATGTATCAAATTTTTGGTAGTAGTTGGTTCAGATATATAAAAAAACAAGAACAATGTATCAAATGTTCGGCAGTAGTTGGTTCATATATCCAGGAAATAGAACAATGTATCAAATGTTTGGCAGTAGTTGGTTCAGATATACAGGAAACCAAGAAACAGAACAATGTATCAAATGTTTGGCTGTAGTTGGTTCAGACATACAAGAAACAAGAACAATGTATCAAATGTTTGCGAGTAGTTGTGGTTCAGATATACAGGAAACAAGAACAATGTATCAAGTGTTTGGCAGTAGCTTCGTACCCGGTTCCACGGTGACCACCATGCCGTCACGTACGGGCACTTTGCGCCGTACCAGCGGCGAGTCGTGCACGTCCAGCCCCAGGTAGTGCGACACGTGGTGCGGACATAGACGATACGCGCGCTACGGTATAACGACACACTCCGTTATTAGTTTTTAACGTGTAGAGCCACGCTTCAGCTAGATTAGCTTATATATTATGCTTGAATGCCTCGTTGATCATGAGGTCCCGGTTTCGAGCCCCGGGTCAGGCCAAAAAAATTAGTTATTGAGCTTTTCCGTCAAGAAATTCTCAGTAGCTGCCTGGAGTCAGGAAATTGGCGGTGTCTCATCCCCGTGCCTCGGAAAGCATGCATAGCCGTAGATCCTGCACCTGATCTCTCCCCGGTCGTGTCGGTTTACGGTCCCATCGGACTATGAGAGTGAGGGAATAGAGAGTGCACCTGTGCTTGCGCATACACTCGGGCACTATAATTCTGTCCTGCGCCGATTCCTAGTCTCCGTTGAAGCTGGACGACGCGACTGAAATTCGATCTGGAAGACATTATTATTACATTATGCCTGCAGCATAGGTCGCGGCTCGACCGGGGAAGGACAACTCTCTCACATAATACCAGCTTAAAACAAGTGTTTCGTGTGGTGAGTGTAGAGAACCGGAGACCCTTTTTACTGGAAAGCAGGCATTCCATCTTAGTCTCATCTTAGTGGGGTAACAAGGCATCTGCATTTTGATTCTTAATCGAAGACAGATGTAGTTTTCTATGGGCCACAATATCTACTTACTACGGTGGCCCGTGGGCTCGTTGGTAACCCTTATTTTAAAAACCGTTATCGTATCGAGATAGCAACATCTTACTAATAAAAACCGAAAATAATTGCGGCTGCCAATCCGCTAGCGAAGCGTGGCAACTATGGCAAAATCCCACCTATGAGGAAATCTATGGGGGAGGCCTATGTTCAGCGGTGGACTATTATAGTTTGTAATGGAAATACCATATGTGCACAAAGTATCAGTGAGCTGTTGGTTGTAGTTTCGAAGTCAAAATGTACAAATAATTTTAGGGTGATACGCATATCTGCAAAACAGGAGAAGGACAGCATTGTCTCTTTTCTCTTCTTTTGGCGGACTATAATCATCTCTCATGATATATTATGTAGCTATATTGAGGTTGCAGCAAGAATCACACGCTCTCACAGTATGGTGAGTGTAGAGAACTGGAGACGCTTTTTATTGTTAACAAGACATTTTATATTAGACCTCAGCACGGCTAGCATGGGCTGGAGATGAAAAATGTATCCCACGATTATATCCACTGACAAGAGATAAAATTATCTTGTCCTTATGCCAAAGCACGGCAATGGGGAAAGTATCTCCCCGTTTGACATAACGAGTAGAGATATATCCCCCGTCCGTAGCATGGAGCCAAATGAAAGATAAAAAATTATGCTTTTTTGATATTTGAAAGGGACAATTATATCCTAGTTCATTGGACGTCTATCTAAGTGAAATCTATCTAATTATTAGAATCAGGTGTTACTTTGCGGAAGTCCATTATATTAAATTTGACAAAAAATAACTTTGCGTACATCCGCTAGGTAAAATAAAATGATGTGTCTTACCTAGTTTGAAGAGCACCTCCCGCCCTCCCTCAATTGCGTGCACTATCCCCGTCACCACTAATCCCAGCACCACTACTCCCAACACCACTACACTAGGAAAGACACACCACTGACGACAATACGACACGTGTTTCGCCTCTACACGAGGCATCCTCAGGTGATATAGACTCTGCGGTGGCTAACCGCTAAGTGAGCGGCGAGCCAAAACAACTGCCTTTTATAGAGACCGCTGACACAACCGCTCCCTGCTTAAGGAGCGAGCGACTGCGTGATGCGATAAAACATGCGACCAATCACCGCCGGACTTACGCAGCCGTTTGTAAAATTAAAAACAAACCGTCACGCAACGCCCGCCTACCCTCCAACCACGCAACCAATCGCTGATCACGTGAGAGTGACAAACGATCAAATTGCGAGGCTGTCTGCTATTAGAGAGCAGGCTTAAAGATATTTAGGAGAGGTGAGTTAGAAACTTTTGTTTGTTCATTCAGCAGTGCAACGTTACTGTTTTTACTTTTTAATATCTCTAACTGTTCCAGCACACACAGTCGCAGCCCTTTATTACACGTATGTAAGACTTTAAAGGAGTGGTCGTTGGCTAGGTTGTGTCCAGTGTCCAAAAGATGTTTAGCAAAATGGGATTTATCGGGATGGCAATTCCTGTACGCGGCTCAATGCTCTTTATAACGTGTTTCGAAGTTGCGACCAGTCTGACCCACGTAAACGGCGTGGCATTCGTCACAAACAAGTTTGTAAACACCTGACTTTTGACGAATATCCAACTTATCTTTATTATTACAGATATTTCTTAGGGAATTGTTTGTTTTGAACGCCACATAAACGCCGTTTTGTCGAAGAGTCTTAGCTACTTTTTCAGATATGGAGCCTAAGTAGGTCAAACTGCTCACATATCGATGAACACTTTGAGGTTGAACCGCGTACAGAGAGTTGCGGACAACATGCTTTTGTTTCTTTTTAATTAAATTGTTAACGAGATTTTTTGAAAAACTGTTAGAGACCGCTATTTGATAAATTATATTAAGTTCTTTTAAATAATTTTCTTTACTTTATGGGACAGTGAACAAACGGTTAATGTAACAATAAAAAGCGGCTACTTTATGTTGCCACGGATGACACGATGACGCGGGGATGACCGTGTCGGTATGAGTTGGCTTTCGATAAATCTGGAAAACATGTGACGATTCTTTTCTTGTTATTGTTAAGTCGAGAAAATTCCGGGAACAATTTTGTTCCAATTCAAGTTAAAATTTAATTTTGTCATGGACTCTATTTATTTTATTGAGGAAAACATCCAGTTGTCTCCTTGTGCCAGTCCAGCAAATAATTATGTCGTCTACATATCAATAGTAATATAAGATATTTTGATTGACAACTATATGTTGTTTTTCGAAATTATCCATGAAAATGTCCGCCATAAGGATACTTAGAGGGGACCCCATAGCTAACCCTTCTTTTTGTAGATAGAAATGGTTATTAAACCGGAAATAGTTTTGTTTCATACAGAGAGAGGTTACGTTAAGAAGATCATTTGTTTCCCCGGGATGTAGACGACGTTTTTCAAAGAGATCTGCGAGTATACGCAAACAGTCAGGGGATGGGACATTTGTGAAAAGACTATCAACGTCTAAAGATAACAAACAATATGGATTTAGGAGGAATACGAATATGTTTAATTTTGGAAATGAGATCTAAGCCATTTTTTAGGCTGTAAGTGGGGTTGAATCCAGATTTCTCTCGAAGGAGGAAGTTTAATTTTTTAGCAAGGAAATAAGCTGGTGCACCTAAATATGAGACAACTGGACGAATAGGAACATGTTCTTTATGTATTTTTGGTAACCCATATAAAATGGGTGCTTGAGGATTCATTGAAACAAGATTGTTCCGAGACAAGTTGTGATCGGGAAAAACATATGATGACTGATACATAACTTAATATCCGAAGTAAACTTTTTGGTTGGGTCAGACTCCAATAGCTCAAAGTCATCACCTTGGATAACATCGTTAACTTTCTGGCTGTACCCACTACTCTCCATAATAACAACAGTATTGCCTTTATCGGCTTTAGTAACAATAAGGTCGTTTTCCCTTATTCTCTGCTTTAGTCCCTAAAAAACAGGGAACTCAGGATTGAAATGGAAAGACGCGGGCACAGCCCTAATTTCATTAGCTACCAAACTTTTAAAAGTTATTTTTTGTCAAATTTAATGACATCTATCTAAGTCTAAGTCTATCTCCCACTTTATCTACTGTGGATATTATATCCACCAGTGTGCCCATGCTCGCTAGGTGGATAAAACTAAGCGAGGGGATAAACATTTTCTCCTTTCCCCGGGGATAAAATTGTCTTATACCCATGCTAGCCCTGCAGGGATGACAACGCATTTGTAATTTTATTCTATAACGAGGATAGATGTAGGTGTCTACGGGTCACAGCATCTACATGCCATCAGGTGGCCTGTGTGGAGGTTTATCACCTTTATTCTATAAAAAAGAAGTTCTACAAGAATATATTTCATTATCAAGTATTTTCTCGTGTACACTTACATTAATGAGCTCGTTGCCATCTATGTTCTTTGGCAGGATACCCTCTTGTTGGAGGTGTGTACCAAGTAATCGGCACATTTGATCAAACAATTGATCCAACGGCGGCCGCTGTTCGCCAACCAATTCTATTAAACGTTTCTGTAAATAAAAATGAAAAATACTAAGGCACGCCAATGAGGTTTTCTCTATTCATATAATAATATCACTTAGCCGTGTTGAACGACGCCTAAAAGGGCACTAAGAGCCGTTTCCGATTATCCAAGATTTTACGTTACGTTCAAAACGTAATCTATTTTATCATTATCTACTACCCCTCTCCCATTGTACGGAGGCCAAATTAATTTAGGTTTTTTTTGTTTTATAGAAATAGGGTGACATTCGAGCACACAGTCCACCTGATGGTAAGTGGTTGCTGTGGCCCATAGACATCTACATCTATCCTCGTTTACGAATCAAAATGCAGATGCGTTTTCAGCCTTGAGGACTAAGATGGAATGCCTCTTTTCCAGTAAAAAGGGTCTCCGGTTCTCTACACTCACCATACGAAACACAGCAGCGTTAAGCTGCTGTTTTACGCTGGTATTCTGTGAGAGCGTGGTCCTTCACCGGTCGAGCCGACCCATTCGTACTACAACTATATTATAAATACAGCTGCAGCTTGGCTTCTTTTTATTATTTTAAATTATGGTTTCTCTTGATAGAATTCTGCCAGCTTCAAGTAAGTCATGAGAGTGACAAGTTTAGTAAATAACTATTATATTTTTAATTCTCAATTTTACGAGTGGACTCACCATCTACAAGACACTCAACTCATTTTAGATCAAAAATTAGTCAATAGCTAGACAACAGCGCCACCTATCTGGTTTTGACTATAGCTTAAAAATACATACATAATAATACATATGTATGTATTTTTTTTTCGGGGGATGAGTCGCTCGCGTCCGTAGGCTTCGACCACCTAATCCTAGGCCCACCCTACACGTGTCCCCCGGGTGGTGCTAAACGAGCGACAAAGCCGAAAGAACTGACTCGGCTCCTCGCCGTGTGGTAGCGGCGTAAAAAATACCACAACTGACTTTCGCACCATGAGGCAAAATATTAACGAAAAAGCTTAAAAAATATTATGTAAATATGACCTAAATCGGTCAAATCGTTCGGAAGTTACATGATCACAGATTCAAAAATAATTTTATATATTAAAAATTAAACTTTGAAGATAATTTAACAAACCTGTACAGTTAGCACGAGCTCATACAGTATTCTGTGGTACTTGGAGAATTTTCCAGAGACAGGCCACGTGCGCGATATGTCCGAATTGTACATCCATCGTTGACAACCTGTTAATTATTTGTCATCGAAGTAAGTAAAATAGCTTAGCTTAACACTTAAAACAACTAAATGTTTTATTTATAATAAACTCACAGAAAATTATACTTGCTGCAGCTATAATAATTGTATAGTTGTAGCACGAATGGGTCGGCTCGACCGGGGTAGGACCACGCTCTCGCAGAATACCAACGTAAAATAGCAGCTTAACGCAGCTATGTTTCGTATGGTGAGTGTAGAGAACAGGAGACCCTTTGTACTGGAAAAGAGGCATTCCATCTTAGTCCTCACGGCTGACAACTCATCTGCATCTTGATTTGCAAACGAGGATAGATGTATGTAGATGTCTATGGGTTACAGCTACCACTTACCATCAGGTGGACTGTGTGCTTGTTTATTACCCTTATCCCATAAAAAAATATATTATATTCTATATTATCTGATAAAAGCAGATTTACTCTAGCCTTAAAGACAGCTATATTGTTACAGAATGGTAAGATGAATTACCCTTCGGCAAATTGTACAGAAGTCCGAAGAGTACAATTTGCCACTATATCTGGCGTATGTGAACTATGAGAAAGCCTTTGATTCCGTCGAAATTTGGGCGGTGCTGCAGTCCCTTCAGCGGTGCCAAGTTGACTGTCGGTATATCGAAGTGCTGAAGTGTTTGTACAGTAGAGTTACGATGGCTATCCGAGTACAGAACCAGAGTACGAAACCTATCCAATTGCAGAGAGGTGTAAGACAGGGTGATGTTATATCCCCGAAACTCTTCACCGCTGCATTGGAAGACGTTTTCAAACTTCTGGACTGGAAAGGATACGGTATTAACATCAATGGCGAGTACATCACTCACCTTCGATTTGCCGACGATATAGTCCTTATGGCAGAATCGCTGTAGGACCTAAGCACTATGCTCAATGACCTCAATAGTGTCTCCCAACGGATAGGTCTTAAGATGAACATGGACAAAACAAAGATCATGTTTAATGTCCATGTCACACCTATGCCCGTAGTTGTTGGGAACACTAAGCTCGAAGTTGTTGACGAGTATGTTTACCTGGGACAAATAGTCCGACTAGGTAAGTCCAACTTCGACCGAGAGATCAATCGACGGATTCAACTCGGCTGAGCAGCGTTCGGGAAGCTACGACACATCTTCTCGTCAGACATACCTCAAAACCTTAAAACGAAATTGTACAACCAGTGCGTGTTGGCAGTGATGACTTACGGAACTGAGACGTGGTCATTCACTGCTGGCCGTATGAGGAAGCTCAAGGTCGCTCAGCGAGCTATGGAGAGGGCTATGCTCGGAGTTTCTCTGCGTGATAAACTTAGAAATGAGTATATCCGCAGTAGAACCAGAGTAACCGACATAGCCCAACGGATTAGTAAGCTGAAGTGGCAGTGGGCCGGTCATATAGCTCGAAGAACCGACAACCGATGGGGAAGAAAGGTTCTCGAGTGGCAGCCTCGTACCGGTAGGCGAAGTGTATGGCGACCCCCCACGAGATGGAGTGACGACCTGGTAAGACATGCAGGAAGTCGATGGATGCAGGTGGCTTAGGACCGTGCTTTGTGGCATTCCTTGGGGGAGGCCTATGTTCAGCAGTGGACTTATGAAAGGCTGTAATGATGATGATGATGATAATGATGGAAAGATGAATATAAAATAAAATAAAAAACCTCGAGATAAGATAAAATATTTGTTACTTCAGTCTTCTTGAGTTCTTTATAAATATCACTTAAAATTATTAAATATTACGTCTCCGATTCATTAGAAGTTGGTAATAAAATAAATAATACTGTGTTCTCAGAAAACAATACCGTTTCAAGTTTATGTCCAAGTTAACAATCCCTTCATTTATTCATTCATAATGGCCACATTCTATAAGTCTACTGCTGAACATAGGCCTCCCCCATAGACTGCCTCATAGCGGAAGTATTTGCCAAAGTAGCAATGCTTTACATGCGGGTTGACAACCGCATTTTTTATTATTTAACCTTTTAACAATAGTAATCTTTAAACAATAATAACGGATATGTGTACGCAAGCGTGCGTGAGTGTGTAACAGTGTACGGGCGTGTGTGAGTGGGTATGCGTGTGTGCGCTTGTGAGTACATATTTTTTTTAATAAACTGTCTTTACGGCTCTGTGTTCTAGCCCTTCTGAGCCTACATAAAAATGATTAGATACCTGAGTCAACGAGTATCATGTCGGTTTGGTCGAGCAGCTGGTTATTGGCGACGTAGTGTATGTGCGTGGCGCGCGGCCCGCCGGCCACCACGGGCGGGAACGCGCTGTGTTCGGCGCCCGCCTGCCTACACGTGTACTCTAGGATGGCGTCCACTGTACGTTCAGACATACCTGATGGAGATACGGTTATAATGTAATCTTGAGATTTACTCCACAGACTATTGAAAAGGAACATTATAAAATACACAAAAATTTCAGCTAATTCAGTCAAATTAAACTAATTTTTTACGGATTTTTTTGCGTTTAATTTAACTTTTTAATTCCCGACGTTTTGGATGCTTTACAGCACCCATGGTCACGGGGGGAGACTGAGGTGTTTGACGTCCCGATGTCATAGTTAGATCGGCTACCTTCAGTTTTGAATATTAATTTTTGGTCCGACCTACGCAGAATATTAAAAAAAGAAGACTAAAAATTAAAAAAAATATATTAAAATCAACACTTAAAATTGCAATTCACAATTTCCTTGGTATCGGCGGGGATCGAAATCGGGTTCCTCTCGTACTGTAAAATTTACGCGCTTAAATTAGCTATTAGCCCCTGAGCTACCACGGCTCTAATCATAGATAAGTACATAAGAAATATTTTATAAGAATATTACAGTTTCGAACCTACCTACCAGGTTTAGTGCACGCCATTGCCATATTCACAGACTGTGAGCCGATATAGCAAGCCTCCTTCATTAACTCCACTTCAGCTGGGGATTTCACTACCCTCATTTGATGTAAAGCCTTCTGTGGATCTTCCAGAGCCACTTGTCCATATCGCAAGACTGAACGGATGTCATCATGGATGTCTGGGTTGGCTGGACTTTCGTTGTGATACCAGAGGATTGCTGGCTTGGATAGTGATGTGATTCTGAAATGAAATGTAATAGGTCGCTTTAAACTTGAACCACTGTTATTGCAGATTTCAAAAAGGGAATCTTAGTATGATTAATTTAATGTACTCTAAATTGGAGTTTGTTGAATATAATAACATGCAGCTATATTATATTTCTTGCAGATAATGCAATGTGAGCGTCAATGAAGATAATATGATCAAGGGCTTATTAATCTTAGATAATCAGTCACTGATGAAATATTTTATTTTTAGGTTAATAAGTTATAACCTAAAAATAAAATATTTCATTTATAGCCCATAAAACCTATAATAGCTCCAAGGACAAAAGTGAAAAGGCTGCTGCGGACAAAAGTGAAATGGTTAATTATAATTTAAGTGCCGAAGAACCATGTTCTCTGCATGGAGTGGCGGTATAAGAATATTTAATATTGCGACAGAAGAAAACAAATCAGAAGGTCAGCAGTGTCTTCTCAATAACAACTAGAGAATAAACTGCAGTTACCAGCCACAAGGCAAATCTAAGCCAGTAGCATAGCTCAAAAGTGTCAGAAATTCTGCAATACAATCTAATAAACAAAATATGCACGCAAAGTAATCATCTATCACTGAAACGAGCTTTTTTATAGGATAAAAGTGACAAACGAGCACACAGCCCACCTCATGGTAAGTGGTTACTGTGGCTCATAGACATCTACATCTATCTTCGATTAAGAATCAAAATGCAGATTTTGACGTTGTCACCAGTGGGGACTAAGTCGTCACCATTATCCTATAAAAAAAAGAGTATCCACTACCCCATATAATCCCATGAGTGTCGTAAACTTTTAAAATTCTAAAAAAATAACATAACAAGGGAGGAGCGCGGTTGGCGTACCGAGCGCATCCCCGCCCACGCACCACTCCGGTGTAACGCGCGATAGCACTTCTATCTGTTCAGCAAAGGTTAAAAATTTGGTTGTGTTCCGTGACTATTTGTGTCGATGGTGATTAGGAATGAAATTTTAATCTGATTTTAATTTGTTTATAAAGGCAATTGACAATATGGACTATGAACCGTTTAAAAAAATTCCTAAGATATAATTGTTTTAAATACAAAATAAATACACCAATAACACAACCCATATGATGAAAATGCATTTGCTAACCTAACCTAATGAAAACAAAACTCAATCAGGAACCTAGATAATCATTATCTGTATCCGAAAAATACCATATTAATATGATGCAAATACGTAAGCATTAAAATAATTTTTGTATTACATTAGTATGAGCAATTCAACCTCCACTGCACTACTCTCAAGCTGGCACTTTTAAACCTTTGGAGCTATTGTAAAACCTAATTTCGAATTAAAACAACTTACTTAGTTAAAAATTGATTGAAATTCTCGACGGGTCGTGCTTCGTCAACTGCAAACAGTTGAGTTGATATACTACAGCCACTCCTAGGTCCTTCCCATAGCTCAGCATGAGCATCTTTTTCATGTACAAAGAGTACACTCTGTAAATTTTTTTCGTATGATTATCCAAGTTAAATACTCAATCATTATAAAATTTAAAAATCCTCACATATTTGAAGGCTGACTGTGGCTGTGTATGGCAATGTATTATATATATATAACAGCTTATCGATGCTGTGTTTCGTATGGTGAGTGTAGAGATCCGGAGACCCTTTTTACTGGAAAAGAGGCATTCCATCTTAGCCCTCAGGGGTGCCAAACATTTTGATACGTCATCAAGGATAAATGTAGATGTCTATAGGCCACAGCAACCACTTACCATCAGGTGGACTGTGTACTCGTTTGTCACCCTAATTCTATAATAAAAAAAATTGCTCCAATATTGTCTTATTAGTATTATTAGTTGTATTACCTTATTAGGTTTTTTTTACTAAAAATATTTAAATTTTAAACTACAGTAGAACGCCGACAATCCGAACGCCGATTAACCGAATAGCCAATTATCCGAATCGGTCCTATGCGTAATATAAAAAATTAAAACCAAGTACTGTAAGTAAGTAATGTAATTTTTGTTTTGTTTTGTAGTACAAGTTCGAACTCGCTGGAGTCCAGATATATTTCAATTCAACTGTTATGATTGAAAGCTAGAGGCAAGACACTACATGTTTTGCGTCTTCTAGTCTACTAGTGTCTAGTCTAGTGTCTAGTTTAGTCTGGTGCACTACTTACGTATTGTAGAACTGTGTTTGTTAAACTTTATAAAGTTTATTCTATGTGTGACACTTCGTTTTTCTTTATTACATACAGTCTATGTCCGATTACACGAATTTTCGATTATCCGAATCGACCCCAGTCCCAATTAATTCGGATAATCGGCGTTCTACTGTATTTGTATATTGTAACTATTTTTAGAAAGTCAAATTGGCTGGGTTAGTCAATTTGAATTTCTACAATCATGAACACTAAAAAAAATCTATAATAACTAAAATTAAAATATATTGGTAAATCCAATTGTGCATACCTTAAGCGCATTAAAAAAATTACGTATAACATGATTATACGGGATTTTAAAGTAGTTTAAATACATTTCGACAGCACTATCGGCTTCAACACCCTCGAAAACCATGAAAATGACACCCATGATGAAAAAATTGGTACCTACTTCAGCCGCCATCTTGGATTTACATTTCGACCCGCACTATCGGCTTCAACTCTCTCGAAAACCATGAAAATGACACCCATGATGAAAAAATTGATACCTATTGCAGTCGCCATCTTGGATTTATATTTCGACGGCACTATCGGCTTCAACAACCTCGAAAACCATGAAAATGATACCCAAGATGAAAAAGTTTGTATCTATTGCAGCCTCCACCTTGGATTTACATTTCGACAACACTATCGGCTTCAACACCCTCGAAAACCATGAAAATGACACCCATGATGAAAAAATTGGTAATTTGTTCAGGCGCCATCCTGGATTTACATTTCGACAGCACTATCGGCTTCAATACCCTCGAAAACCATGAAAATGACACTCATGATGAAAAAAATTGGTACCTACTTCAGCCGCAATCTTGGATTTACATTTCGACAGCACTTTCGGCTTCATCACCCTCGAAAACCATGAAAATGACACCCATGATGAAAAAATTGATATCTATTGCAGCCGCCATCTTGGATTTACATTTCGACAGCACTATCGGCTTCAACACCCTCGAAACCCATGAAAATGACACCCATGATGAAAAAATTGATACCCATTGCAGCCGCCATCTTGGATTTACATTTTGATAACCCTATTGGTTTCAACACCCTCGAAAACCATGAAAATGTCACCCATGACAAAAAAATTTATACTACTTACTTTTAGTACGTATTACTATTATTTATTCTGTGCTTTTAAAATATTGTAATAAAAAAAAACTCTTATTATTATTATAATCAAGTATTTAAGAAATTTGGTTATTCGAATATTGTGTATTTGTACAGCGATCTTTTTAAGCAGCTGAAAACAACCGAAAGAATGTCCACTCACGACGGCGACTGAAGTCGTACTAAACTACTCTGTGGGTGTGGCTGTAGCTCCCCATTTACAGAAATAATTTACATACGAGGCTACCAAATCAACGAAAATTTTGCCATTTTGGAGCCGAAAAAAATTAATTATAGCTAAACAACACAAAATTACACTGTCATTTACATTCAGTGGCTTCCCAAATAGATGAAGAGTTTAAAAATAGATTGAGTAAAACAATTGATATTTTCAAAAGTTATCAAGTTTACAAGCCTTGGGGGCATGATAAATCCACACCATAAGCCACTAAAACCCCTTTTTTATTTAAAAATAGCAATTAATCGATTTAAAAAAAATATTAATAAGTTCAACAATCATTTATCTTTCTAACAATGTGCTTTTTATATCATTTATATGTATAATATGATTGCTAGATACGATTTTATTCGATAAAACGTTGGAATCTTAAATTTTAGGCGATAGTAGAACATACCTTGCACTTTCGCTTAAGGTATGCAATATTTTCAAAGCCCCGGAACAAAAAGAGCTGATGATCTTCAAATTGCTGAACAGATTTTCTTGAAACATAGCTAAGAAGACTCTCAATTGAGAACCTTCCAAACAAAAAAAAAATTAATCAAAATCAGTTCCATCTGTTCAGGAGCGGGTTAAAAATGAATGGGAATAATAATGTCTCAATGTTAAGTAACTTGACTGTCACTTGATGACATCGATTTCCCGAAATTTTCGTAAAATCAATATACATAGGTTATTATATTTATATACAAGTTGTTCTCTGCAACTTCGCTAGCGTTATATTTGGGGTTTTAATTTTTTTGCACGGTACCCTAATTCTTTTTCTAAAATAAAAGTAGCATAAGTTACTACTTATGACATCAGCTATCTGCCAGTGCAAATCCCGTCAAAATCGGTCCAGCCGTTTTGGAGATTAACTGGAACAAACAGACAGTTAGACAAAAACTTTAAAAATTGTATTTTTGTTATTAATACCATATATACTTTCATATACATTTAATAAAAAGCTGTAATTTTGACATTACAGACACTTCAATTTTAGTTATTTGTATAGATTAGGTTATTTGGATGGTATTAAGACATGAATAACCATTATTAAAAATTTGGCTGTCTGTCTGTCCAGGCTAATCTTCAGAATGGCTTGGAAAATTGGAAACCAAATGTAATGTATCTTTACAAACACACCAGGAGCAATGCCAGGAGGGATGTAGACTATATTTTATCAGAAAAACTTAGTATTTTTGAAAAAATTTAAAATTTATTGAATAGATGTACTTTGATCATCTTAAATCGAAATAATGCCACATGAATAGATCCTATAGAAGCACGGGTGGGTTGCTAGTCTATACAAATAAATAAAATTGAAGTGTCTGTTTGTAATGTCAAAATTACAGCTTTTTACTAAATGCATATGAAAGTATATATGGTACTAATAACAAAATACAATTTTTAAAACTTTTGTCTGTCCGTCTGTTTGTTCCTGCTAATCTCCAAAACGGCTGGACCGAATTTGACAGGATTCACTAGCAGATAGCTGATGCCACAAGGAGTAACTTAGGCTACTTTTATTTTAGAAAAAGAAAAAGAATTAGGGTTCCACGCAAAAAAATTAAAACCCCAAATAACATGCGGACGAAGACACGGGGAACAGGTAATTTTAAATAAAGTTGCTCAAATGAATGTAACCATTATTTTTCATAATGACATTTAAGAAGTATTATAAAGGAACAGAGATTACCTTATAACTATCAGCTTGTGCAGTTTTCACCATCATTAAAATGGCTGACGGTTCCATGCACCCAGTTAAGTAGAAAAAATCTGAATTTTGTCGAAAAACATATGGGATTTTGTCAGACATATATTGCTTGCGGGCTCCTGGTATAACAATCTGTATTTATCAAAAATATGTATTATAAGCCTTGTAGTCTTATTTATCTATTACATTATTTCAGTTTAAATTAAATAACAACTAAATAATAAATTAATAAAGAGCAACATGGGCAATAGTTACAAATAATGGTAGGACTTTCTTAGCAATATTTCTACAAGCTTATAGAAATTAATCGGTTATAAATTAAAATACTTACTATATGAGTCTTGTAAATATTATTCACTTCAGCTATTAATTTACTGACCAATGTGTCTCTTCTCTCTTTATACTCCATTTGAGTTATCCCACAGGTCAAATGTCCCTGTGATATCATGTGAGGATGCGTGTGACATGTTGGCTGACCAAGAATTCCTTTAGGTATTGTAAACTGCGGTATTGATTTTACATCAGGCGGCATCTCTATTTGTGACATACACCTCCATTTATTCTGATTTAGATTTGGCTTAAGCAAATGTTTTGTAAGTTTAATACCTACAAAAACACAATCAATGTTAATCGAATTTATCTAAAATGAAAAAGAAGTATAATCTTAACCTTACTTACCAAGACTAGAAAAATTGCGAAATTTGTACATTTTGAGGGTAAAATGAAAGCTAAATTATAAATTCAAATTTAAATAATTTTAATGTACAATGCTAAAATAGTTTTTCAATGAATCTAGTCAATCTAAGTCAAAATAAATAGAGGGACATTTTTCAACTTTGGCATATTTTTATTATTGTTGTTTTTGTAGTTGTCACGCACAGACTACTTAGTGGATACTACGTATTTGTCACGACCAGGGTTGCCAATGCCAATGTATGTAATTCCCCAAAAATTCATATAAAATTCCCCAAATTTGGGGACAAAAATCTGCGGATTCCCCACAAATTCCCCTCAATACTATTTTATACTATTTAAATAATATTTATTTTTTAACCTTTGTTGCACTTTTTCCATACATTTTGCTCGAAGGATTATTAAACTTGATACTGCCGCCCAATTTTTTTATCACCTCTCTTGTAGCCATTAAAGATACTACAGTATCTGTATTTAGCCGATTGCGGTTTTCTGTTTTTAAATATCGAAGCACACTAAATTTTTTTTCAACCGATGCGCTTAAAAATGGCAGTATGAGCAACAAAGACATAACAATTTTATTGTTTGGAAACACGTACTCTCCCGCAGCATTTTAAGGTGAAACACTACCCCAGTAACTTTCGGCATCGATATTATCTTCATGAATTTCAAGCGCATTGATCAAAATCTAACAAAGCGTGAGTTCGCCACTCGTCATCTAATTTTTGTGCGGTCACAAATTTATAAAACACAAAAATTGTTGAGCTTCTGATGGATTTACAGCGGATATAATAGAAAATAAAGGATCCCCGAAATCAAATCGTTTGGTAATGTCAAATGTCAATTCAATATAAAACTCCTGTCAGGTTCTATAGAAATCTGCAATAGCAGCAAGAGGTACATTTTCGTCATTTTTTAAATTTTCCATACTTTCTCCAGCCTTTGATCCAATATAATATATATCGTTTAAACTTAAAAAATGTGTTGGATTTTTGAAGTCTGCGTTTAAAATATCAGCACAGGACTTGACATAGCTAATATTCATGAAATTAGAAAACAATGTTGAAAACATTGTCTTCTAGAGGTTTTCGACTTCTGGTTTCAATTTGTGAAGAAGGGATGTTTCTGATTGAAATAAGACATTGAATTTTGTAACCAGTGCAAGTATGTAAGACATGAATTCGAAATATACCACAGTGAATTGATTTTTCATTGTAATCAGCATTTCTTCGGAAGTCTTCGACGGATCTGAGAAGACTGTTTCTGTCAAGTAGGCTTTTAATGGAATATATAGCTACTGATAAAAAAAGAAACTGAACCACAAACTATCACAATAGCCACTAGGTGTCGCCAAAGTATTTTTAATGAATTAAATTATTAATTAAATAAACACGAAATCTGTAGAAAGAAATGTATAAACCCTAAAAAAATTATAAGATACATAAAACAATTTTACGATTGGCAAAAGAATAAAGATGCCGAAATTAAAATTTGGCGCCATTAAGAGTATTGAGTCGTCCGTTATTCATAACTAAGTAAACTAAAAAAATATTAAAATGTTTGGAATTCTCGTAAAAGTAGTTATGTAGTAAGATGTTAAAATCCCCGCATTTTCCCCGCATAATGCCAGTCCCCAATGAATCCCCAATCAATATGAGATTCCCCGCAGTTTGGGGAATTACCCACAAATCGGCAACACTGGTCACGACACGATTTGGTTACGGCTTACGATTCGCCAATTTAGGCAGGAAAAGGTTTTATAGACCATACAACCTTGTCTGATGTGTATTTTATTCACAAAATTCTTCTTGAGAGTTCGGAGAGCATAGAATTATTACTTTAATTCTATGTCCGAGAGATTTTGACAACTTAACCCAGCTACTAGCTGTTGATGACGACAGTATATCAAGCTGCCAAAGTGGGCTTAAAGAAGTTGTTTGTTTTAGGGGTGTACGCCCCAGATATGTCTAAGCCCACTTATATCCGAGAGCAGTTTTGGGACATGGTAAGGCTGGTGTTGATGAAATGTAAGGAAAATGAAAATATTATTATGTTAGGAGATTTTAATGGAAGGGTTGGGGTGAAGAGGTCTGGTTATGAAAGGATATTAGGAACGTTTGACGATGAAAGAATAAATGAGAATGGTGAATACCTCCTCACCGTATGTGTGGAAAAGAATCTTTTTGTGGCGAACACTTTCTTTCGCCATAAAAGGATTCACATGTATACATGGGAAAGAGAGGATGATAGAAGCATGATAGATTTTATAATTGTGGATGAAAGAATGAGGAGCGCAGTGGTAGATACAAGGGTTTACCGGGGGTCCAACGTAGGGACGGATCATTACTTGGTCTTATGCCGAATTAATGGTCTATTCAGACATTGGCGGCATCGGCCATCGGCGTATAAGAATAGAGAGGTTACAAGATGAAGGTGTGAAAGAGAAGTATAAATGCAGATTGAGGGAAAATATAAGTGGGTTGAATGAATTATGTATGAATGATTTAGAATTGAAGAATATATGGAATAATATTAAGAAAGTTTTGGTGGATGCAGCCACCGAAGTATGCGGTGTAAGTAAGAGAACGAATGAAAGGAAAAGTAATACGTTGTGGTGGGATGATGAGGTACGGATGGAAGTTGAAGCAAAGAAGAGAGCATGGCTAGATTTACTAGCAACTAAAGCTGGTAATTCTGGCGGTATGAATGATGAGATTGAAAGAAAAAAGGCAGACTTTAGACGTATAAATAAGAGAGTAAAAGAAGTTGTTGAAAGGAAAAAGCAAGAAAAGATAGATAAGAATGATAGAAGGATATCTGATAACTTCCAGGCAAATATTAAAATGTTCTGGAAGCTCGTAAGAACTGCCAGGGGAAATTCAAAACAGCCTAGAATAAATGCTATACGAGACGAGAATGGCTGCATGCTGAATGATGAAGTTTCGAATTTAAAGAGATGGAAGGAATACTTTGAAAGCGTGTTTAAGAGTGAAGAGTCGTCTGGAATAAGTGAAATAGAAATTCCGGAAGAAGTGGAGAGAGGTAGGGAGATAAGTGTAGATGAAATAATGAAAGCAATGAAAAGCATGAAAGCAGGTAAGGCAGCCGGATATGATAGAGTATCACTCGAAATGCTAAGGGCTGGTGGGGTGTGGTTGCAGGCCTGCTGCACACCTTGTTTAATTTATGTTGGGAACTGAAACGGGTACCGGAAGACTGGTGCAAAGCCGTTATAGTCCCAATATATAAGGGAAAGGGGTCGCGGCAGGACTGTAAAAACTACCGTGGTATCAGCTTGCTTAGCATTGTGGGTAAACTGTATGCTAAGGTGTTAATTGAAAGAGTTATGGAAGAAACTGATGGAAAAATTTGGGATGTGCAAGCTGGATTTAGAAAGGGGGTGGGGTGTACGGATCAAGTCTTTTCCATGCGCATGATAGCGGAGAAGTTTTTGGCTAAAAACCAGAAAGTTTTTTGTGCGTTCATGGACTTGGAAAAGGCTTATGACAGAGTGGACAGGAATGTGTTATGGCAAACACTGAACTCATTTGGGTTGAGCGCTGGCTTGATACAGGCATTGAGATCTCTTCTTTATAGGGACTCTAGTGCTTGTGTCAGGATCAACGGGGTCTACTCGGATTGGTTTGGCATTCATAAAGGTGTCAGACAGGGATGTGTGGCTTCCCCGTGGCTGTTTAACTTATTTATGGACAGTTGTTTGCAAACTTTGAAAGTTGAAGAATGTGGGTTGAGAATGGGTGAGTCAACCGTCAAATGCCTTTTGTACGCCGATGATCAAGTCATATTTGCATCGTCGGCGGCCGAGTTGCAAATGATGGTTACTTTAATGAATTGGTCATTGAAAGAAAGGGGTATGAAAGTGAACGCAAGTAAGACGAAAGTGATGGTTTTTGAAAGAGTAGAAAGTAAAACTTTATGTGAAATAAGAATAGAAGGGGAGTTGATTGAGCAAGTGGATGAGTTTGTATATTTGGGATGTTTATTTAGCAGGGATGGTAGATATGATAAGGATATAGAACGACGAGTGAACGCAGGAAATAGAGTGAATGGGGCTCTACACGCTATTATGAGGAGTCAGAATGTGTCAACTAAGGCACGTATGGCAATTCATAATGCTGTGTTAGTCCCTACTTTAATGTATGGTAGTGAAAGTTGGGTCTGGCAGAAGAAGCATGAGAGTAGAATAAATGCTGTAGAAATGCGTTCCTTAAGGAGTATGCTAGGGCTGAATCTGAATGACAGGGTGAGAAATAGTGTGATAAGAGAAAAGTGTGGTTTGCAAGATGACGTTGTGACAAGGATTAAAAAAGGAATGCTTCGGTGGTTTGGTCATGTAGAAAGAATGAACGAGGAAAGAGTGACAAAGCAAATTTATGTTGCGGAAGTGAACGGCAGGGTCGGGAAGGGACGCCCTAGACGAAAGTTTATCGACCAAATCGGCGATACATTAAAAATGGGCCAGATTAGGAGTACCCTTAACCGACGAGCGTGTATGCGTAGTTATATGGATGTAAAAGAGGCGAGAGAGGTGTGTCAGGATCGCGCCAAATGGAAGTCCGTAGTCTCTGCCTACCCCTCTGGGTGACAGGCGTGAGTGTTTATGTATTATGTATGTACAGTTACACTCGGTATTAATTGTTGTACAATTTAAAATATTATCTGTTTACGTTCCTACGTAGTGAAGTTATATGAAAATACTTACGAAAAATTAATATGTACAAAACCCAAAACTAAAAACCGACTTTAAAATATTAGTTTTGTTGAATATCATCAAATAACAAGGTTGTTTTATAATTTGTCCTATACATAATACAAAAGTATTTCAAATACTTTTTTAATATGGTCTGCTCTTGCACACAGCTGCTGCGTAAATAAGAATGCACAGTGAAGGTATATAATTTAACCAGTTATCTTTCCTGTATAGGAAAGTTACTATACTCTTTGAGTTATCTCTTAAGCTTTGAATGATTAACTGTATTAAATTATTATATCCAC